ACCCGAGCTGAGAATTCGTCAGCATCATTCCACTTCACTCCCTAACCTTAAAGTAGGATTCGGTGCAACACCAGATGTGAAGCATCACTTTGCATGTGAAAAGCGAAAAACATGCCTAACATCCTCAGATTTCCACTCAAGGGGTTGAGAAGATCCTGCATTTTGTTAGCGTCCTCACCTAACAGAACAAGATCGTCTGTGTACTCTAAATTAATCTGGTTCTCTTCACAGTGTGTCCATCCCTGTAAAATTCGAAATCAGGTTCGCGTCCATTAGCACAACAGTAACAAAGATGGAGAAAAGTGGTGACAGAGTGTTTCTGATGGACGCCATTGATTTCCACTACCTCAAATGACAACTCCAAATAAACCCACACACGTTTACATGAGTTCCGGTAGAGAGGCTTGATTAGCATTATATACTTTTTCGGTACTCCCTTCAGAACCAGGAGCTGTAATAACACCTCTAGGTCGACAGAGTCGAATGACGCCTTCAAGCTAGAAATATGGCAAGTGTCTGACACCGGTGAAAATCCCTGTCCCACAACCTGTCGAAGGGTGTAGATCTGAACGACCCACTCTCTTTCAGGTGTGTGACTTGCATGGTTTTCTCCAGCTCGGGTTGTGCGTAGGATAACTATAGACCATGGGATCTTGGGCAAGTGGAAAGTTTTTTGTTTGTAACAAGATGACGTCTCTTTTCATAAACAGTGGATTTGTCAGTGATCTAGTCCAGTCTGATACATTTTTCTGATCCACATGAACTACACATCACCTGCGATGATTTCCACAATTCTTCAGTCAGGTTCTCCTGCTTCCTATCCTTTCAGATTTGAAATAGTCTTCTTCACTTCGAGTACAGTCATCATATTTAGAAATGTGGGCAAATGTTGGAAAACCTTTTCAAATACGCTTTAATTTAATCAGATCGTTGAACAAAATGCAACTAAAATTCACACGTCTCTGTCCACATCAAGCGTTCGGACCTGCCAATGGCTGTCAGAGACAAACAACCAAGATATTTCATGGACAATTATAGTTCCAACCAGTCTTAAGATGGACAAACGATTGTCACTCTTGAGACGTCAAATCCTGAATCCATTCAAGCGGCAACAGTTGTTTGACACCACAAAAGTGGATGATAATGTATTAAAGGATGCGAATTCCTTACGAAAAGTATCCATATTCCACGACAATATGAAGTAATATTTTCCTATAGACAAGTGCAATCAGTAACGGACAAGACCCCTATCCAGAAGGTGACATGAAAATTCGAATAGGTGACAAGTTTTAATGCCGAACTGGAAGCAGACAACACAGGAAGAGATCTCATCATGAGTAGAGAGGCACTCGGTGAAATGAATGAGAATGGAGAACGGTTTGCATACTTCTGCGGATTTAATGACTTGGTGATTGGAGGTAGTGTGTACAAACACAAGGATATTCACAAAGCGACATAGACTTCACTAGATGGACACACTAAAATTTAGATCGACTTCATCTCAATGTGAATAAAGTGGAGAAGCAGCCACCTTACTGGACACAAGATTAGATCAAGAAGGGTAGCAGATGTAGGTTCACAATACTCACTGTCTAGTGCGAGGACCTTCCAAATCAAGTTGAAAGCCTTCACAGAAGTTGGCCATAAGCCACAGTTCAAGTTCAACACCCAGAACAGAAACTGAAGGACGAAACTACAAAGGACATCTTCACATCAGCCATCAAGACAAATAGGGGATATTGAGTAACATCCCTGAGGAAACTTGCGTGGAAGAACACCGCAGCTCTGTGAAAGAGACGTGGAAGGAAAGCTGCATAACCGTGTTAGGAAGGAAGACAAGGAATGGATCTCGATGGGCACATTGAAGGTGATAGAGGAGGGAGATGAAGATGGTGAAATAGTGCAGGTATGAACAATGAGAAGAGAAACTGAATACAACCTATAAAGCACTAGACAAGAGACACTTTTACGACACACACTGCAATTGAAGCAGAACAGGCTGTAGGTAGGAGAGAAAGAGACCTAACAACGCTATATCAGATAACCAGGTTACTATCTGGGAAGAGATCACTTCAGATGAAACTAATAAAATAAAATGAAAAAAAAATTAGTTACCAAAGAGGAGAAACAAAGGAAACGATGGGTTGACCACTACAAAAAGCTCTTGAATCGATCACCAACACCTCCAATTCATCCAGAAATACCACCAGCACCCCTGCCACAGAACTATCAGTTAACTCAAATTGTTTGACAAAATCAGAAGTCCTGAACGTCATGAGGTTGCTGAAATCCAGGAAAGCAGTAGGACCAGATGGAATTCCGCCGGAAGCACTGAAAACAGACGCAGAGACAACAGCAAACATGCTCACACCACACCGCTACTGCAGAAAGTTTGGAAGAAGGAAAGGTACCTGCCGACTGGAAAGAGGGCTATCTTGTCAAACTCCCAAAGGGTGACCTAAGTGTTTGCAAGAACTGGCGCGGAACTATGCTCCTGTCCACCCCAAGCCAAATATTAGGCCGCATCATCCTGGAGGGACTAGAAGACGCCTGGATTCCAAATTACGACCAGAAGAGGCTAGTCGGCTGGCTTCAGGAAAAACAATGCATGTGCGTATCAAATTGCAACGCCACGCTACGCATCATCATAGAAAATAGTATAGAATGGCAGTCAACTCTCTACCTCGACTTTATTGATTTTGAAAAGGCCTTCGACAGCGTCGATCGACAAATAATTTGACAGCTGCTTCAACATTACGGAGTGCCACAAATTTTCATCAACCTCATTCAACAGCTATATGCTAAATGATGCTACGTGCCAAGTGATTCACAATTGAAAGCTCAGTGATACTTTCGGAGAGAAGACAGGAGTAAGGTTGCCGCCTACTACAACAGATGGTCTTCCTGATTGTGATGGTCTAGACTGGACCAGACAAAAAACTGTGAGGAGGGAAAAGAAGGGCATACACTGATTGGGCCGACGAAAAGACACTAGAACATTCGGATTTCACCCATGATAGTTTATGTCTAATGTCTTATTTCGTACAAACTCGAAGATCTACAGGCGAAAAATTGACAAATTGGCAGAAGAGGCAGCGAAGGAAGAAGGGACTTCCTTCAGGTGAATATAGAGAAAATAGAGGTGATGAAGAAACCCAACCAACAACAACAACTACCAATCACCATGAACGGGAGAAATGTGGAGAAAGTTGTCTTTCACGTACCTTCCTAGGCAGCATCGTTTCACCTACATGTGGCAGAGATGAGGACGTCAAAGCCAGGCAGGATGGGAAAGACAGCAACACAGGCCTTTATTAATCTGAAATCTGTGGGAATCTACTGCACTGCACTCAGCATAAAGAACAAGATCCGGATTTTCAACACCAACGTCAAGTCAGTGCTTCTATGTGGTGGTTCGGGAACTTGGCGCGTTACGAAAAGCATTTCCAACAAACTACAGACACATCAACAGCTGCCACCTACGCTCACACGATAGTGAAGATCAGATGGCGAGAGAAAATAAGCAGTAAGGAACTCTGGCTGGCTGGCAACGAACCAAGAACCCATCGACCAACAAATATGCGGAAGAAAGTGGAGATGGATTGGGCATACACTGAAATGACCATCCGGGGACATCATGCATCAGGCTAGGCCCTCGAGTGGAATCTAAATAGGAAACGACGAGTGGGATGTCTGAGGGGGACATAGAGGACATCGTGAGCGGAAAAAACGAAAGCTTATGGGCAGTCGCGGAGCCAGGTTAAAAAGGATGCAGAGAATAGAGTGAAATGGCTACGTGCTACTGAAGCCCTGCGCTGCACTAGGAACCCTAAAGACGAATAATATAAATAATACTTGTCGTTCAAAAGTGATAATCCCTGTTCACGTTCGCATCACCAGTCAGACTGGTACTACAAAAGAATAAGGCTCAGAGAGACCACTGACACGCCATAGGCTGCGGAAAACGGCTGCTGACAACCTACCTGACCATACCATAAAGCATTACATTTCCTTGAGGTACCTGAAGAGGGAAGTGGTCTTAATGACATTAGTATATAACCAAAAAGTTCAAGAGACCACTGCTTGTCGGTCACACACGGCCTGCTGGAGTTTTCGATCTAGATTTCATTTAGCTGTGTATGAATTCAAAAAGTATGTCCTGGAAGACTGCAGGACATGCAGTAGTCTTTTATTTTCGCTACCAACGTTAAACCAAACTAACCCAACTCCCTGACGGACGTCCTTAGAACCATCGATAACTAAATGTCTCAGTTCTTCAAGTGGCTGTGGAAAAGACAGAAGTATCCACGTGCATATGGATATGAATTAAGTTTTGACAATTTAAAAATCTTGGACAGAGGAAACACAAAGAATATAACAGAATTCCTAGTTGCTTAGCCTTCGAGTTACTGAGCGGTAAGTAATGTGTGGACTTAGGCACCATGTATCAAGAAATCTGAAAGTTGATGGGCAACTGTGTTTGAGGTTAGGCAGAGGAACAGCTTACAATGAAAAGAAGCAACCAATCACCAAACAGTTTGTCTTAGGAAGCTACTCAGTCACTCACGTAGAGATATTGACAGCTCATTGACCCTTTGCATGGCTTCCGGATATCCAATATATCCAATATCCGTTTGCCAGCCAGTGTACACCACCTGATTTCTCCGCCCTAGCTTTTTGGCCTTGATATCAGGTGGAGCTTAAGCTCTAAAGAATCACTGGAAACTATATGATTACAGTGTTGCAGATGTAATTAACGATATCTGTACATATACAGCTACTGTAGAGACAAATTTTCAGGCAGTTTAAGAGGGAACAAAAGGACAGTCTATCATTCTAATTTTTATCTAGCTTTTTCTATAACTTCCAATATTCACTATCCAACTTAGGGAAAACTATGTGTCCACTAGGTAAAACTTAACATGTTTATGCTAAAGACAGTTAAAGCAAGAGTTATACGAACCCAAAAAGACGAGAAAAGTACTTGTAAAACTACTCACGACTTCAGCGGAAACTTTCAAAACAAATCAACACTCAGTTGGTACAACAAAAGGCTTGGCAACGAATGTAACAAACTTTACGATAGAAGTCCAAATACCCCTCACAAACTATGTATAAGTTAGTTGGTTTTCATCATTCTTAACTCAATGTTCTGAGTCGTTTTAACCTATGAATATTGCAAGAATTCAATATTCAATGGCTGGAAAATAGTTTAATGGCACTTCATTGTTTGATAAAATGACCATAACTACTGGTTTCTGTTCATAATTCCCCCCCCCCAACGCATCCATGAAGTGTTATCTTTGGTTTAAATGCTGCTTAGATGCGGCACACAAGTCAATATAATCGGTCACACAATGAAAAAGACTGCTACTCTGTCATCGATAGCTGGTACGTTTCCCGCTCAAATTTCTTGTATTCTTCTGCATTTGCTTTTATCTCACTAAGATATATTTGGCGGCTGCTGACCTTTTGATAGTATTAGATTTGAGAATTTTCCATTTGCTTCTGGTGGAGAATATTTGTAGCTCCGGAGGATGTCCTGTTTGCGCTGTGTCCTCTGACTTGGATGACTTATTCTCTAAGCTTCCCCTGCCTTTTGAAACAGCGTCATTAGTGCTAACTTCAGTGTGAAGTGAGCTGTCAATATCTCTACGTGAGTGACTGAGTAGCTTCCTAAGACAAACTGTTTGGTGATTGGTTGCTTCTTTTCATTGTAAGCTGTTCCTCTGCCTAACCTCAAACACAGTTGCCCATCAACTTTCAGATTTCTTGATACATGGTGCCTAAGTCCACACATTACTTACCGCTCAGTAACTCGAAGGCTAAGCAACTAGGAATTCTGTTATATTCTTTGTGTTTCCTCTGTCCAAGATTTTTAAATTGTCAAAACTTAATTCATATCCATATGCACGTGGATACTTCTGTCTTTTCCACAGCCATTTGAAGAACTGAGACATTTAGTTATCGATGGTTCTAAGGACGTCCGTCAGGGATTTGGGTTAGTTTGGTTTCAAGAACATACTAATCCAGCAACAACACGACCAATCCTGCCTAATGGAGGGAGGGTTGCAAAGTTTTTCACCAAGAACTATTCATTTGCGAGGACATATTTAAAGTTAGATAGTGTCTGGATATGACTCTATCGTCTTGCTGACTAAACATTTCCATTTGTCAAGTGCATCAGCGAGGTCGGAAGATGGGACTTCAGGAGGATCTTCGCCTCCCATGTATGTTTAATCTTACAGGTTAACCCTCAAGAGGGGAAGGTAGACTAAAATTAGAATTCGTGCATACCCCCTTTGAGAGGAGACTGGTTGTACCCAATCTATGGTTGTCATCCTAACAGTCTCCAGATATTTCTCTATAAGAGACTTCCACTAATCAATTGGTAGTCTTCGACAGCCTCGTAGAACACCAGATGGGATTCTTAAAATAGGGCGATTTGTAGATACAAATTTGGTGGGGTGTAAGGGACGAAGTAACATGAAGTCCAGCCTCAACCCCTAGACCTTTGATGCAACGAGGTCCTGATCCGAGTTTTAAGGTTAAACGCGTTTCCACAACACCATTGAGTGATGATGTCGTAACGTTTTTCTGGTGGCCCATGGGATTTATCAAGCAAACTTGGAGTCAGTATCTTGAAAACCTTCTAGGGCGAACAGATGTACTAGGCAAGTAGCAAATGTAGCCTAAAGAAAAATTCTCTCGGTGCTAATATTGAGGACTATCAACTGTAGCAGTTTGTGAAGTCACTCAAAACAAGGACACCCCTCAGCTATAATTGCGCAAGTCAGTCCATCAAATATTGCGAGTACCCACACATTTGACACTTGGTTAATATCACGTCACTTGTTCACCAACTATTAGTTTTTTCACACCTTTTTCACCTTATAATCTAGTCTAAGGTGTTTTTGAAGTACTGTGAGTATCAGTGATGATGCGGTTCAACGTATCTTGATTCCTGCGCTTGTCACACCTACACCGTCTATTAGCATACAACGATGGTGGCGTGATTTTCAGGTCCCGACTATTTACGTGGCACTTCCGACGGTAGTAGGAAGTAAGGAAAAAAGTTGGTGACAGAGATATTCAGTTTCGTGGATTGTAAATTCAGTTATTTTCGTCATTCATAAATTGAAGTCGCCGAGAGTCTTGCAAGGCAGTTCAGTTATTCCAATCTATTCATTATCGTGAAACTGTATAAAGGTCTCATTACTGCTGCTTGAGTATTAATGCAGTCAGCATGTTCTCGGTTTAAGCTGATGTATGGAGATTGGAATTTCTGCGCTTCAGCCGCCCACTGGCCTTATCTAAAGATTTAGTATCCTAAGTTTTGTGGAATCTTTGACCAGGTGAGTTGCCTCGAAAAGTAAAAACCACTACCTGTCTACTCTTTCTACTTACTCACCGGGTATTTAGGAAACTGTCAGCCTTCTGACTGCAACGCATCGTTGACCGACAGTTGTTCTATATGGAAAAGTGGGTCATCCACTGTTTAGGTCACGTCAGCGTCTCAGCAAGCCACTTCATGAAAAGGCTTAAAAAGTTTTCCCGTTAGTGTCGGGTTCCTTTGGTTTTAGTTGAAATGCTTCAACTAACTCATGGGTGTTACTACCATAGGTTGTTTTGTGATCATTCATTTTCAACATCGCAGTGAAGTTTTCTTCAGCACTCACTATCGTGATGGAGTAAGACTTAGCTACTAGAATTGTGTTAGCCAGACTTGCATACCAGAATTACTCCATGATAGATGTTAGTTGAAAGGTATTTCTATCCAAACATCTTTCGGATACCGTTAAGACTAAAGCCAGTTAGTGTCATCACATAAATGGCCTACATTACAGTGTGCTTGACGAGGTTTCACTGCTGACTGAACGGGGTGTAACAGCATGAAGGTGGTCCCAATGGGTGACTAACGCTGCCGTCTCTCGTAGGAAGCAGCGATCAACAAACGTCGTCACCGAAAGCAAAGGACTGCTTCATGACTTGCAGTCTACCGGGATATTCTTTTCGAATTCATGTACACCGAAACGAAATCTAGATTGAAAACTCCAGCAGGCCGTGTGTGACCGACAAGCAGTGGTCTCTTGAACTTTTTGGTTATATACTAATGTCATTAAGACCACTTCCCTCTTCAGGTACCTCAAGGAAATGTGACGCTCTATGGTTTGGTTATGTTGGTATTCTCACCTCCAGTCATTTCCGGGAAATGCCCAGTGTAAGTTTTTTTAGCAGAATAATTAAACTGTCTTATACTGAACGAAAACATTAAGTGATGAGTTATTTCACCTTTTCTCACACCGACCTGAATAAATTATCATGTGAGGTACCCTATTTTATAAACATTATGCTGTTTCTTTCCGGCAAAATATGAAAATTCTGCTTCATAGCCAGTGTTTCACAATGGGCCGTGACACACTTATTTAACCAATTTAGTCTAGGAAGCGAGGCGATAGCTGAGAAATCCAAGATGTCACAATAAACATACATAACACCCCTGTCTTTTTCGGGGACAATACTGTCAAACACTACATTTACAGCATCCAAATACTTCCGTGTTTGTTGGCCAATTGTTTTGCATCCCTGAAAGCCTTCAGCGAAACTTCAACGACCAGCAGATGCAATTTCTCTGTTGTCTCCAAGGGAAGGATATATTATGGCTATGTGTGGAATCTTAAAACCAGATCCAAAAGATGATCTAGTCACAGGAATACCTATGATCCCCTTCCAAATGGCGGGCACTGCTTATTTGGAAAACGATTCACTGAAAACACCTGTTAGAGGATGGTATAAAATATTTGCCCATTTTCTAGATATGACACTTGAAACACCACCAGGATCTTAACTGCCGGATAGGTTCAGAGATTTAAGATAGCTTGTGTCATAAATGATAGTGTTGCCTGAAACTTCTTTAGCAATTATATCCTAGCTGGTTTTTTAAAGCGTGCTTCACAGTCATAGTATTTTCTTCTGTGAGTAGCGTCTGTAATGGGCTTTCTTGGAAGGGCGTCCTAACTCCTTACAAAACCAGAAAATAAGATTTACATTCAAACTAATGAGAATTTATTGGGAGATCACATAAGTTAGCAGTGGCTCCCAAATGATAGCCGCGTTGTCGGTGTTTCACTACCCAAATTCCTGGGAGTCTGGATGGCACTGTCTATCTTCAACACCCTTTGTTGAAATGAAAACCACCCCAGCACTCCACCGGTGATCTTCATAGACCTCCTTCACCCCACATACACCAACGTTACTTGCTTCATCTGTAAAAAAGAAAACTCATTCGCCGGTGACCAATCATTTTCATTTGATTATGGTTGAATGAAGTCAAAAAGGCATATACTCAGCGTTACCACATGAAGCCAGGCGTAAATTGCGGGCCAGTAGTAGTGTCGATACCAAAGATTGCTTTCCAGTATGCGCCAATACGAGCTTTATCTTTCATGAAATGTTGGTTCTGCAGCATTTTGAGATGTAATTTAAAAAACAGACCTCCCCACTTACCAAAAGTCATAGTGAAACCAGGGAGAAAAAGAATGCCGTGAGTCAATAGTATTTAGTGAAGGCTACTTGCATGACCTACGAGATCGTGTATGGGGATGGGGGTGAAAACGTTTGCCGACGGCAGTCTGGACTATTCACGTTTTCGCACAATATCCCCCAGACAAAGCGCAAGTACCTATTTGAGCTCCCGAATATTGCCAACACAACCGTCTCTACGACTGGGGTAGACTTATTTGTTAGGGGCTGTTATTGACGAAATTATGCAAGGCCACGCTGCAGCATCATGGTGTGAGTACAGCGGGAGTTAGGTGCAGGGTCTCACTAGAGAGAGGAAAGTCAACTGATAGGGTCGTGAACCCTCATCGTCTTGAATGGCTAAGACAACTTTTATGTATGCTCGGTCACAATATTGGCTGAATTGAAGTCAAGGTGGAAAAGACAGGGTGTCTCCAATCAAAACCATGGTACCACTCCATGAAGCCTCTGCTCACTGGTATGAGGCATACAGGTAAGTGAAAAGTTCCCAATCGGGGTCGTCTTGGCGACAGGAAAACGGGATTGGTGACCATGTGTGATATGGATCAGAATCAATCTCAGTGACATCGACGAGTTCGCATTTACTTATTAATTTATTCACCAACTATTCAGGTTGGTACTGGGGTGCATTTATC